TTTTTTTTTTTTTTTTCGATTTATGCGTGTTATTGTTGCGCAGGGGCCATGCTAACCTCGCGCGCCTGATCTGGGTGGCGCGATCTCTTCAATCGGACGACCAGATCAGATCGCGCCGGCATGAAAATAACCACGGCCAGCTCCAAAAGGAGCTAGCCCAATGGTATATACCGTTTCTCAGATTCGATCCCAGTATCTGCAGGGTGACAGTTGAGTGTGTTATCCTACTGAGCTAGCTCCTGTTTCACACTAAACAGGAGTTGCTCTTCAATATGAAGAGCTTAGCCCAGGTAACATCCCTGCCTGCGGCTTTGCAGGCTCCGCCCATGTGTGGCTTAGCAGGCCTGCCCCGGCTGTGGCTTAGCAGGGCTGCCCTGCCTGTGGCCTGCCGGCTTACCTGCCCGTGGCCTACCCATACCGGTTAGCCGTGTGGCCACGGCTGGGTCGGCCATCGAACGGGGTAAGTCTTGGCATTGGCCTATCGTTCCCAAGGCTCGACGTCAAAACCCGCGGCCTGCGCCGCTGCCCTATACCCCGCGTAACCCTCTTTTTAGCCCACTTAAGCCCTGAATCGCGCGGCTGACATTATTATAGATAGAATAGGTTTAATTTTAGCATTTCTCTATCTGCACGTTCCTGCGGCTTCGACAAAAACGTAGCCTTTGTCATTCACACCCGATACCTCCGGACGTCACATGCGTCCGGACTAAAGTCTGAAAATCTTAGTTTTTCAGTCATAGGTCAGGTATGAATAAACGTTTTGGCAAACGTCAGTCTCATCAAGTCCTTCAATTCAACACAAGAGTCGGACAACGCCCGACATTCAAAAACACCGGCAAATACCCTTGTCAGGGTTTTTGCCCTGACAGCAATCCCAAACCCCATTGAACGACGTCCCCATCGTTCACCCTATATTAGTCAATAATATAGGGCTCTCTGGATTCTTATGGAACTCTTTTTAACAAAATCTCTTTCAATCGAAAATAAGCCGGAGCTTATAACTAAAATTCGAGTTATTGCCTCGGTAATCTAAAATTCAATCATCCTTGATTGGAATGGTACCAGATATAGCCTCTGGCAAGCCTTTCATCAAAACCTGAATTTATACCGGTTCAAGTTCCGGAATTACTAAAAATTTTTCAAGGAACTTTGTCTAAATGGTCTCAGAATCATCCCACTGGCGGCAACTCTAAACATCATTTAGTTTCTCAGAATGGTACCGGAAATAGCCTCCTGCTAACCTTCTAAACCTCAGTCGGCTAATATTTACATTTATCTATTAAAAAAAAAGTCAGGTTAACCCCCTGACGGGTATTTCAAAATAAATAACCTTCTGATCGGCCCAGACAGAATCTGAACCAATCATTCATGAGAGAAACCATTTATCAAAAGTCCTTGTCGAGGTTTTGTATCCCATTCCAATTACGAGTTATCACATATGACATTTTTCCTGCATGCTTTGTGATATGCTTCGAGGAGTGGTGTAATCCTCAAGGGATAACATCTCGACGTCAAGCCCCGCTTTAGACTCGAGCCTCACCACCTTCCCTCCGATTCCAGTATCATGTGTTTGCCTGTCCCCTACCTGCAAGGTTGAACTACCCTTTCTCTATGACCTAGGCTGGTCAGACCCGGCCATAGAGGCGAGGCGACCCCATTCGTCATAAGGTCAAGGTGACCACTCCTTCCCCCATGACGAGCGGCAGTCGTCACCCTTACAAGCAAGATTCCAACAATCACAACAATACCTTCCTCTCTTTCAATGATAGTGTAGCCACCCTCCTTAAAAAAAGAAAAGTGATAGCATCCCACTATGGACCAGGAACAAGTTCCGACGTAGGCCTCACTACCACCTACAGAGCTCACTGCATCAGGGCTCATCATAACATGATAACTAAAAAAACATTACGAAAGTTCTAGGCTGTGATAAATAAATGCAGTACATGCCTTAGTGAATAAGACACGGAGTTGTCCTTCAGCCCATATAATGCAAATTACATATCATCTTCCTATAACTTTTTATAACAAGAATATACACCAAATAACAATATACATTTTCACAAAGAGTTCCATACATTCTAGTCAAAAAAATATTCATAAATTTGCATTACATCACATTTCATTGAAAAAAGTAACAAGCATAACAGATTTCTGATCCAAAAACCACAACACAATTCCACGATTAGGAGTCGCAAAATTTATTAATTATACAAAACATGGAACCATAGGTCCCAAAATTAAATAAAAAACCCAAGAATCCAGAGTTACAATTTTCTTGCCTGTCCTCAGAACCAGTCAGCAATTTGTGATCCCATGTAAGAAAGAGAGCGGACAAAGAAAAGCAAGTCTCTTTTATCCACAATCTCTTCTAACTACAAACTCTTTTATTAAGTCCTTAGAATAAACTTTCTCAAATGCGATCCCGACACCCAATTTCTACCTCGAGCCCCATCTAACTCTTCGATCTCATAAGCCCCATGCTCAGATTTCTTGATAATATGATAGGGCCCTAACCATCGACTGTCCAATTTTCAAGACCATTGTTTTTCCAAGGACGAATCATAAAGAAGTACGATATCCCCTACTACCAACGGTTCCTTACGAATACGAGGCCTTTTATCCCATCTTTCCTTGTCGGCCTGTCTACTCTCTGCAGTAGAGGTAGCGGCCTCCTCAATCCTATCCTCAGTGATCATCACTTGTCTTGCCCTCAATTCCAACAACTCCTCCGTTGAAAACTTTGTTTCCACATCCTGCTTTCTCCAAAAGGTCAAAAAACTTTCGATCGGAAAAGTTGCATGCCGCCCAAACCACAATGTGACCGGAGCGTATCCAGTTGTCCGCTTTATGGTGACATTCTCAACAAAGAATGTCGTTCTCAGATATATCGGCCATCGTCTTCGCACCATTTAGCCAACAAATTTGTTAGAATGGCATGTCCACGTTAAAGTGGCGCATTGGCCTGGGGATGTGCCCTTGTAGTATAGCTAAAGCTTACTCCAAGTTGCTTCAGAAGCACCTGGACTTCCCCAACTCGAAACTCACCACCTCGATCCATGACAATTTCTCGGACAAATGGGTACCGAAGATAATATTCCTCAATGCATTCTGCTAAAACATGCCAGTACGCTTGCGAATGGCACAACCATCAACGAACCCAGTCAGATTATCTCTTTGCGTTTAATTTATATCTGTACCTATTTATTCCAGGTGGCATGACTAATAGATCAAGGTGTATTACTACCCCTGGCTCAGCGACATAGCGTGGATTAAGAGGTTCAACAAAACGCAGATTAGATCGCATTTGGAAAGGAAGACAAGAGTTACTGAAGTCATTTACCATCTTGTTCATTCCTTCCCAAAAATAAAGATGTTGAATCTTTTTCAAAGTGACTCGTGCCGATCTATGTCCGCATGCGACCCCATCATGCAAATCCGCAATCACATCAAGTTGTCGCGTAACCCCACATCCCACTCTTCTCGGAATGTCATCGTTGGATTTCTTGAAAAGATGACCATATCTTACAACGAAATCCTTACTTTTCTGACGAATATCTGGATCCACCTCATCCTCCCTCAACTCACCATTCAACCACATTCCCATTAATTTATACTCCCCATCATACTCTCCTTCTCTGAAAGCCTCTCTGATTTCATTGCCTTCTGCTTCTTCATTCATCATTTTCAGGCGGTCCTCGTGAATTAGAGAGTTCACAAGGAATGACATCTCTCCAGTGATCCTGAAAGTTTTATCAGCCTGCTCATGCCCATACTCAATCGTCAGCGGCTCTTTGATGAGCTCGACTTCATCAGACAAAGCCAAATTCATCATTTGCTCAGATGTTCTTTCACCCCATGGATCTTCCTCAATGAACGGATCCCCAATCACGAGCTCTGATCGCACATGATGGAAACAAGGAGCATTCCAGATGGTTTTCCCATTCCGGGTTGTTGCATCCGCCAAGTAATTGTATGAGTTAATACTCAACTGTGACTCTTCTCCTTCGAGAAATCCATCGACAGGAACTGAATCCTCAGCCTGATCTGTTGATAAGTCCCAATCAACACGACTCAATCCATCTGCTCGATTCTGAGCGCCTGAAATGCGCTCAATCTCAAAATTGAACATCCAAATATACGTCAGCCTTCGAGCAATGGTTGGATCAGAAGGAGAATAGTTTTTCAATGATTCAGCTAGAGCCGTAAGATCAACTCGCAGAATGAACCGCCTGCCAAATACATAATTCCTGAAAATACGCAGACAGTGAAGCACAGCGAGAGTTTCCTTCTTGAACTGGGAGTAGTTTCGCTCAGTAATATTCAGAGTTCTGCTCTCGAACCTCAATGGTCGTTCCCGTCCTTCCCCATCCTTTTGGACCAAAACTCCTCCCAAAGCGGTAGGATCTGCATCGGTCTCGATGATGAAAGGACGGCTTTCAGCATCATCAAAGCAAGGAACGCCCAGAATCAGGCCGCCTTCTCGAAACTCAGCTTTAATATCCTCAACGGATGCCTGCTGTTTCGGTCCCCACTCCCAGACCTGGTTCTTGCGTACTAACTTCCGCAAGTGTTCCACCCTCGCTGCGAACCTGTGGATAAAAAATCGCAAAAATCCGTATGTTCCGAGGAAGCTCCGAACGTCGGTAATAGATCTGAAGGAAGTCGGCCACTCCAAGATCTGATTCGTCTTCTGGGCATCTGGCCGACGACCTTTCTCATCACAAAGAAAACCCAGTATTACCGCCTTCCTCATACCATGCCTCGATTTTAACCCCGCTAGCAGTGAGGTTATATTCGTTCAGTTTCCTAAGAACCTTTTCCACATTACTGATGTGTTCCCATACGAACTTTCGAACGCCGGGTAATACTTCAGTCTCGTCCTTGACTCGAGGTCCTGGGATAGCCAAATCATCGATATATGGAGAAGTCACGTCCGGACAAAGCGGCTGCATGACTCTCATCATATATCTCTGCACAATTGCCACGACATTCGTCCAACCTTGTGGAGCCGCGCACATATGAAGCAGTCCCCGAGGCGTGTGCATCGCCGTCATAGGTCGATCCGCTGTGTACAGCGGGAACTGATCATACCCTGAATACAAATCAATTAAGGTGATGATGGGCTGACCTGCACAAGATTCCGAGAGTTGGTCGGCGTTCGGAAGTCCACCTGCATCTCGGACTGTTACAGAATTCAATTTCTGCAGGTCATGAACCCATCGTAAAACACCGTTCGGCTTGATGAAGCAGAACCAAGGGGATGCATACAGCCCATACGAATAGTCTGCAACTTTGGTCCGAATCTTACCATCAAGATAATCCACCACCTTCCAGTGATCGTCTGGATTCGGATATCGTGGACCTCCCACATTCCATGGCTCATGCGGTATCGTATGAATCCAGATCATTGGAATCATATCGACGTCCAACCTTCCACGCTCATCATCATCAAAAACATAAGCCAGATGATTTTTCCTCATAACGTCGATCAAGAATTGAGTTTCCTCCTTGGTGAGGAGGTCATCCTCTCCAATGATCATTTCTTTGATCTTGTCTTCTGTCAACCGACACGGTGTGAGGAAACCCGGGGAGGGGCGCCTACCGTTCGCCGAAGCCAAGGGCAACAACGCCTGTCACCCCCCGCGCCCACTTCCGAGGTCCTCGGCGACCAGCAGGAATCAAAAGTTGCGGCACCCTGTCACGCTTCCAGTTTTCTTTTTCTTTCTTTGTGCAATTTAGCAACTTCACAAAGCAAAGGGGTTCAGCGGACAACTGGTCATACCACAAGTTCATACAGCCATAAGTTTCAACAGTCAATTGGTTCAACAGTGAGGTCCTCAACAGCGTAACAGGGGAGGGGTTGAGATGTAAAATAAATAGAAATAGAATATCTGGCCTACAGACCTAGAACCCAGGTTCAATTTCTAATTAACCAAGTCCGGGCGATCAACAGTTTACTGACGTTTGTAGATTTGGCAATGAATAGGAGATCATATCACATCCAGCATCCAATCCCATCCAGTCGGCAAGTGAGCAGCAATAACCTGTTTCCTCTATGGGCACATTGATATGCCGATGAGCTGCAAATAGCTAATCTGCCAATGAGCAGTGACGGCTAAGTCGATGAGCAGCCAATGGATAATCTGCTAATGAGCAACCAATGGCTAGTCTGTCAATGAGCAGTGATTGATCTGCCGATGAGCGACCGATAGCTAGTTTGCCAGTGAGCAGCCAATCCCTGATTGATATGCCTAAGAGCGGCAACAAGCTAATCCGCCAATGAGTAGTGATGGATATGTTGATGAGCAGTCAATGGATAATCTGCCAATGAGCAGCCAATGGCTAGTCGATCAATGAGCAGCCCACGGATAATCTGCCAATGAGCAGCCAATCGCTAGTCTCCCAATGAGCAGCCAATCCCTGATTGAATGAGCAGTCAATGACTATTTTCCAATGAGCAGCCAATGGCTAATCTCCCAATGAGCAGCCAACGRCTAATCTTCCAATGAGCAATAATTRAYCTGCCGGTGAGCGGCCAATAGCTAGTTTGCCAGTGAGCAGCCAATCCCTGATTGATATGCTGATGAGCGGCAAAAAGCTAATCTGCCAATGAGTAGTGATGGATATGTCGATGAGCAGCCAATGCATAATCTGCCAATGAGCAGCCAATGGCTAGTCGATCAATGAGCAGCCCATGGATAATCTGCCAATGAGCAGCCAATGGCTAGTCGGTCAATGAGCAACCCATGGAAGATCTGTCAATGAGCAGCCAATGGCTAGTCTCCCAATGAGCAGCCAATCCCTGATTGAATGAGCAGTCAATGGCTATTTTCCAATGAGCAGCCAATGGCTAATCTCCCAGTGAGCAGCCAATGGATAATCTGCCAATGAGCAGCCAATGGCTAGTCGGTCAATCAGCAGCCCATGGAAGATCTGTCAATGAGCAGCCAATGACTAGTCTCCCAATGAGCAGCCAAT